TTCTCCCTCTAACTTCCTTTTATTCTCTTTCCTTCTTTCTCTTTCTTTCTTTCTCTTTTTGTCTCTCTCTTTTTTCTCTTTCTCCCTCTAACTTCCTTTTATTCTCTTTCCTTCTTTCTCTTTCTTTCTTTCTCTTTTTGTCTCTCTCTTTTTTCTCTTTCTCCCTCTAACTTCCTTTTATTCTCTTTCCTTCTTTCTCTTTCTTTCTTTCTCTTTTTGTCTCTCTCTTTTTTCTCTTTCTCCCTCTAACTTCCTTTTATTCTCTGTTACTCTTTCTCTTTCTTGCTCACTCTCTCCACCCCCCCCCCACACACATACCTTCCAGTTGGTGAAAATTTCTGTTTTTCCAGCTGGGAAGCTGGCAAAGAAGCCTCATTTTCCCTGCTGCCTGCAGCTCTCGGAGGAAGGAGGCAGGGAAGCGAGCCCCAGGCATCATCTCTGCCTCCTTCCTCGAGAGCTGACTTCCAGCCTCTCCCGTCACTGCGCCCTTCACCCGCCTTTCACCTGGAGGCTCTGCCAGTGAGGCACCTTCCATTTCACCTCCCGAAAGAAGCTTGGGAGATACATGCAAACGGCTACAACTTGAGGTTCCCGAGGAGGACGCTGGACACTGGGGGGGGGGAGAGGTGGCGCCCGCCGCTGATCCTTCTGCTGCTCCCGGTAATGCAGGCTTCTTGAAGAGCATTAAGTTGCAGGTGCAGTGGCGCACCGATTCCAGCAGCTGCGTTTTCCCTTTAAATTTGCTGTCCCGGCAAACCAAAGAGGACATTCTCCCAGTAGCACCTCAGGGGCTCCCATACTTAGCTGGGAGGGAGTGAGGATGGCTGGACACAGTTTAGTGCCTCCCAGCTCCCCTCAGATCATCGAGGGGCCTCGTGTGCCTGCTCATATGGCCTGCATGCTTCCAGCGGAAATGGGAAGCGCAGGGATCTTATTGTAGTAGGGCGGGGGAGGGTGGAGCATAAGGTTAAATAAACAAATTTGGCTTTGCTTCCTTGCGCAGCAAGAGAGAAAGTTGCCTGAGACGCTGCTGGGTTGCAGGAACAGCAGGTTTCAAGGTAAAACCCAGCCGTGTCTCAGGCAACTTTCTCTCTTGCTGCACAAGGAAGCTGGGTTTTGCTTTGAAACTTGCTGTTCCAGCAACCCGAAGGGGACAGTGCAGAGCCGAATCCTCACCTCCTGTTCTTCAGCTGCTGCACAAACCCACGTGGCGTGCACTGCCCTCTTTTCTCTTGACACCTGCCTGGTTAAAAAGAAGGACGAGGCTCTGCTGGTCCAGAGCCCATCTGCGGGGGGAGGGGTCCCCCTTGCATTCCTTCGGCTCCGGACCAGCGGAGCCTCAACCTTCTTTTTAACCTGGTGGCTGGCAAGAGGGAAGAGGGCAGTGCATGCCACATGGACTTGTGCAGCAGCCAAAGAACAGGACGCGAGGATTTGGCTCTGCATAAGCCCATGGGCACATGCTGTCCTCTTCTCTCTGACAGCCGTCTGGTTTGCTGAATCCAGTCTTTGGAAAGAACCTCCCCCTCCAGAGAGCCCATGCCGGGAGACAAAAGAGGGTGAGCTGGTTTGAATGCGGACGAGTGGGCGGTTTGGGGCCAGCACCTCCTTCGCTAATTCAGGTAGGCAGAGAAAGAAAGGAGGCTTGTGATAAAGCCCTCCTGCCTCCAAGGGTGAAGGGAAGCACCTTCACCCTCGACTATTGCATGCCTCCTTTCTCCACCCGCCTGAACTAGCAAAGAAGGCAGGCCACTAAACTACCTGTTCGCCCACATTCAAACCGGCCTGCCTCCTCTCTTTCAGCATGGGCTCTCTGGAGGGGGATGGAAGGTCTCTCCAAAGACCTGCTTCCCTTACCTCGCGGCGCAGTTCCGCGACACATTTGGGCAATGGGGGGGGCGCTTTCTCGCATGCCTTTGGAGAAAGAAAGAAGGCATGCGAGAAAGCCCCCCTGCCCTGCCTGAACATTTGAATGAAGGAGGCTGCAAACTCCTTTGCCCTCGGCTATGCGATCTCCTTTCGTTCTCTGCTCCCCAAACAAGTGAATGAGGAAGATGGAGAATGAAAGGAGATTGCGTCGGGCAGGGGGAGCGAGCCAAGCGTTCCAACCGGTTCTAAACAGCGTGGTAGATTTGTGGAACCTGTTCTATCAAACTAGTTAGAACCAGCAGGAACCCACCCCTGTTGCTCCATCACTGGTGGTTTTTAAGAAGAGATTGGGCAGCAATTCGTCTGGAATGGTATAGGGTCTCCTGCGTGAGCTTGGGTTAGAAGACCTCCATGGTCCTATCCAACTCTGTAATCTGTATTTTGCATATAGACCAGGGGTGTCAAACTCACGTCATCAGGTGACATATTGGGANCTCTCACACACATACCTTCCAATTGGTGAAAATTTCTGTTTTGCCAGCTGGGAAGCTGGCAAAGAAGACTTGTTCTCCCTGCTGCCTGCAGCTCTCAGAGGAAGGAGGCAGGGAAGCGAGCCCCGGGCTTCATCTCTGCCTCCTTCCTCGAGAGTTGGCTCGGGGATGGCCAGCCTCTCCTGTCACTGCGCCCTTCACTCGCATTTCATCCGGAGATTCTGCGAGTGGGGCACCTTCCATTTCACCTCCCGAGAGAAGCTCGGGAGATACGTGCAAACAGCTACAACTTGAGGTTCCCGAGGAGGACACTGGACACTGGGGGTGGAGGTGGCGCCCGCCGCTGATCCTTCTGCTGCTCCCAGTAATGCAGGCTTCTTGAAGAGCATTAAGTTGCAGGCGCACAAGGAAGCTGAGTTTTGCCTTGAAGCTTGCTGTTTCAGCAACCTGAAAGGGACATTCTCCCAGCGACATCTCAGGCAACTTTCTCTCTTGCCGCACAAGGAAGCTGGGTTTTGCCTTGAAACTTGCTGTTCCAGCAACCCGAAGGGGACAGTGTGTGCCCTTGGGCTTGTGCAGAGCCGAATCCTCACCTCCTGTTCTTTAGCTGCTGCACAAGCCCAAGTGGCGTGCGCTGCCCTCTTTTCTCTTGACAACTGCCTGGTTAAAAAGAAGAACGAGGCTTCGCTGGTCCGGAGCCCATCTGCAGGAGGAGGGGTCCCCCTCGCATTGCTCGTCTTCCCGGATGGGCTCTGGACCAGCGGAGCCTCATTCTGCCCGAATGTTTGAATGAAGGAGGCTGCAAACTCCTTTGCCCTCGGCTATGCAATCTCCTTTCATTCTCTGCTGCCCAAACGAGTGAATGAGGCAGATGGAGAATGAAAGGAGATCGCGTCGGGCAGGGGGAGCGAGCCAAGCGTTCCAACCGGTTCTAAATGGCATGGAAGATTTGTGGAACCTGTTCTACCGAACTAGTTAGAACTGGCAGGAACCCACCCCTGTTGCTCCATCACTGGTGGTTTTTAAGAAGAGATTGGGCAGCAATTCGTCTGGGATGGTATAGGGTCTCCTGCATGAGCTTGGATTAGAAGACCTCCATGGTCCTATCCAACTCTGTAATCTGTATTTTGCATATAGACCAGGGGTGTCAAACTCACGTCNCATTGGATAAACCTTGTGTAGTCTCTTTTATGGTTAACAGAAGACTATGAGTCATGCTTTTGGAATCCAGATTTATAGGTTGTTCTCTGAATCAGGGGCACAAGATTATAAATCTATTGTGTCCATATTCACATGTGTTCTCTCTATCTCCCTTGGAATATGCTTCCCATACAAGAATTCTCTCCTGGCTGCATTTCTTTAGGATCTTACTCTTTAGATTTGGTGGCCACAAGAAGACGAAGAGGACGCCGAGAGCAGAAAGACTGGTTTAAGATGGTCTCAACCTCTTGAAATGAACGCAGGAACACAAGGTCCTCATTCATGGAATAAATTTTTCGACCAACCTGCAAGCCCGCCATCTGAAATGATGTATAAACATTACAAGCTGTGCCACATTATTAAACATGTGAATGAAAAAGCAGAAGACAGTTAGTGTGTCTTTTCCCCCAAGTTTTGCTTTGGAGATCTCTATTTTCTTATAGAAAACTGAGACATATCAACAGGTAAGCTTATAAAAAGAATGTTTACCAAATTTTGGTGCAATAAAAGTCTGATTAATGTAAGAAAACACATTCTCTAAAACATTCTAAAACATTCTTGGTATACTTGGGCAAAGATGAGACAAATAAATGGCTCCCAAGAATAAGAACAGTAGGAACTATGCCTAAAAACATACACTGTGATAACACACTATGTTCCTGGCATATGTTCTGTTATTCTTTTGTCAACTGATTTGCTATGATGCACCTAATTGGAAGATCACCAGGAAATACTGGGGGTTAAGAGTGTGATGACAGAAAATAAAATCCAGAGATTAGCATTGCAAGTATACTTTCATACTATAGCTAAAGAAACCGCAAGGACATGTCCGTGAAATCATCAGGATGCAAACTCAACTCAAAGGAGACTTTATCTAGGGAGAAGAAAACTACAAGGGTGACAACGGAAAAGATTTCACAATCAAAGCTACATTCTAGGTTTGGTATCAATTATTTTTCTTCAATTTACCAGAATAACTGCTATCTTCTTAGAAATCTTATACATAACTTTCAACAATTTACAAAAAAAACAATGCACAACCATACCAGTGGTTGGTTGCCTTTACCGTCACTCCTGTTTTGGTGATTGTGCATGCATGCCTTCTGTTCATGCACATACCTGACTCACTGGCACAATACACCGCCCCTGTGACAACCAGCTGATTGTCAGGGCTCGTGCAGGCCCTGCACACTGTGTGCGTGTGTGCAATTTACCTTTTGCCATAAAAACAGGTACAGACCACAGGCGGGCGGGTGGGCCAAAAGAGCCACCATAATGGTTTGCTCTCAGCTCCTCTGGGCCACTACCGGTTCTACTGAACCAGCCCAAACCGGCAGCAATCTACTTCTGAACCATACATTTAGTAAATAAGCTACGATGCATAAGTGTACAATAAATTTAGCCACAAACTGGAATTTCAAAAAGTGGCAACAAATTTAAAATGATACAATTACGGTA